AAGTAGGGTTTATTTGCTAAATCTACTTCAAAGTTTATTTTCACTATCTTATAAATACATGCATATGTGACAAATGTTTCTGTACGAGAAAATAATTTCTACGTTCCACGTCGTGCCTAATCCATTATGTATAGTAAAAACAAACTACATACTCTTGAACGCGCAACGGATATTGCTTTCATCAAAATGTAATTAGCTATTTGGGTCTGTCATATCATTAGCGAACCAGAAACGACGAGAGCTCGGGTACACACGATTGCAAAAAACGCAACACTTTCATGTCATTCACAAATCACGAGCGAGTAAATTACACTGACATTATTACTGTTTTCATTAGAAATTTGAAACCGTTCATACCGCACCACGCATAGAAGTAATTATGAAAAAATAATGTGGACGCTGCAAAAAGTTACAAATAGCAACCCCATATATGGAGTCCCTGCCATCCAAATATGGAAACCCGTTTACCTTACTGGGAGGTACTGCGCCTACCCACAAAATACAGGTATATATACATACGCCTTGTATTATGAGGATTCGGTGACTTTCGTTAGTTTGTGTTCAAAAGTAGAAATTAGGTCAGCATAAAATATTAACTATTATATAATATTCAGTTGATCACTAAAACAATGAACTAAAATAGTATGCAAGCGTGCAGTCCCTGTGAAAATAGTTCCGCGTAGTGGCAAAGAACTGAGTTTGCGTAATACGATTTTTGCCTTTTTCGTTAGCAGACAGGAAGCTGGGACGTCTGAAAAATCTAAATATCGTCATACCGCGAAAATAAAAACATTATAGCATGCCGAACCAAACTACGGGTTCCAGTCAGGGTCAGCTAGGATCTGTCGATTTTTCCACTGCTGTTGGTATACCAGACATGCTGAATAACACCACGATCGGTGCCGATGACGGCAGTTTTCAGCCCAGTTTCGATCCCTCAGCTGCATCCGCTTGCATGGACGGGGATGATAGCAACGGGAGTTCTGATCTGGAGGATCAGTTTGGCTCACCGAATGAAAGAGGCAAAAAAAGATTAGCTGAAGATATGATGAAACACCCGGTTGGTAAAACAGATGGTCCAAAACCTGGAAAGAAAACCAAAGGTCGCGTCAAGATTAAAATGGAGTTTATTGACAATAAGTTACGACGGTACACAACGTTCAGCAAACGCAAAACCGGAATAATGAAAAAGGTAGGCGTTCGTCCTGAAGTCTAGAAACTTTTTTTTGTGTGTTACTTCGTGGCCAGCTCGATCTGTCAAGTTTATTTTGGTTCTGGCGTGTTAAGACATTCTAATATTTGCGCAGGAGCTATTATAAACGGTCGCACACATTTTGCAAATTGTGTTCAATGATATCTGTCAAACTCGCTGCAGAGCTTGCAGGGCAGACGTCCGCTCCACACACATTCGATGAACAATAAACATTACAATCCTTACGGTGCTACACGTCAATGCATTATCACATAAACATATTATTTGTTTTGCATTATAGGCATACGAACTATCGACACTGACTGGGACCCAGGTAATGCTTCTTGTTGCTAGTGAAACTGGCCACGTGTATACGTTCGCAACTCGGAAACTGCAACCAATGATCACCAGCGAAAGTGGAAAAGCTCTCATTCAAACGTGTTTGAATTCTCCTGACCCACCTGCAACACAAGCTGGGCCACAGACGTCCGACCAACGCATGAGTGCAACGGGCTTCGAAGAGACAGAGTTGTCGTACCAAGTTAACGAAGAGGAAGGCAAGGTATGCAACATTTACTTCCGTGTTGTGTTTTTATCGGCTTATTAATTGCCACCGCTTTTGCAGTCCCACTGATTAATTATTCGAAAATTGAATATTACTAAAATCACTGAGTTAATTAAAATACTTGATTGAACGATGCACTGATTTGTCCATCACTAATGTTCAACTACTATTATTTTGCTCGAACGTAAACAGTACGAGTGACCTTACGACCTCGATTTGGAGCTGTGTTTACATCTGACTTGTACGTGACTTGCGGAAACATATCTTTCGAACCGAACCACATCTTTGCTCTTCACACACATATTTTTCCCTGCGTCTTTTCCCATTCCTGACGGAACTTTATTCTAGGAGGCTGAACTTTATAGAATAGTAAAAACATGTGCAGCCAGGGTTCATTGATAAAATTGCAGATCGTCCTCTCCTTCCAAATATGGCTGAAATGTGCCAGAGTTCTGCCATATATGGGCATAAATTGTCCTTTTTCGTAGGAGTTGTTTGCTGGTTAGGTTGCGTGGTATTTCCCCATACAATCCATGCCTTATATGGAAAGACGCACAATAGATAGAACCGAGTCGTGTGAGCTGCTAGTATTACTATGAAAATAGTCCAGGACAGTCTTCTGCTCGGTAAGAGTAGACAGTTATTTCGTTAGGCGTAAAAATAGCTGATTGGGAAATGACTACATTGATTGTTTACATTATTAGTTCTAAAAATAGTTGAATGATTTTGCAATAAAGCAGAATTCTAGTACCATTTCGCTCCAGCAGTGGAGACTGTAAGACGGTTACAAAATATACCCTCAGGATTGTCCGAAATAATTCTCAGTACAGTACTTCCAATATGATTTAACCATCTGTGGTCTGTTTAACAACCCGGAAGAAAGTTTGGAAATGGGTCAACTTATTTCTAAATTCAATGCATGTTCAAAATTGAAATTTTCTTTATTTAATTTTGCTTCTCTATGTCAAAGTTTGTTAATTCCCTTATATTTTTTTTATTGATATACATTTGTTTATTTGCTTATCCTGTGGCATTTGTATTTGATAATTTACCCCCATTTTAAGTGCAGACAGTCAGAAAAACAAAATATTCTGTAAACATGTTTTCTCTCAGATTTTAATTTACTGTTAAAAAAATAATAATTAAAACCATGTGAAAATGATTTGTTTGTTTGAATATTAAAACTCAATAAATAAATACATTTGCAGTAACTCAATTCTACCAAAAAATAGTTGAGTGGGACATGGTGTGATTTTGTAGCTTGTCAAGGTCACTTATTGTTATAAACTTAACTACCAGTAGTTTTGACAAGTCCATTTGTTGCAAATATGCAGCCCTCAAAAATCAAGCTTTGATGCATAAATTCATTGCAACAGCACGCAACTATTTGAAATTGTTTCAGGATGATTGCAAAACCAGTACTACCAGTTAGCTGGCAAGAATATTTAAACATGCGATTCATGGATAACATATTGGCATTGTTGACTGGAATTTGACATGTGGCTATCATTCATAAGTCTAATTTAGCCCGAATAGTGTGAATAGTATCGTTATCCTGCAGAACAGAATGCAAAACAATAAACTGCAAAATACCAGTGGTGGATGTGTGGACCAACCAACTGCCTAAGAGATGATGTAATGGTTCTAAATATAGAAAATGGATAATGCTTTTCAGATGTGTGAGGCACTCTGCCAGACATTGCATTGTATTTCTGCCTGACATACCTTCATTTGCATCATTGAGCTGATGAATTCCAACCCACTGATTCAGCCAGTTATTCATAGATATCCAAATGATAACAGTGTAATATGATCATGTTTCTTAGAGTGGAATGAAAAGGGAATCCCTTGTCATTTTGTATTATTTATATATTTTCTCTCTCACACTTCTTTACTACATGCAAATGGGAGTGAAGTTAATGTACTATTGAGGTTTGGAATTCAGGCTATGTGACTCGCAGATACCACCAAACTTATCAAACTCTAAGATACTGCATAGCTACTAGTTTTAATATGTCAGTGTCTGAAAAGAATTTGTTCAAAGCAGGCAGTCTGCTGTTATTTAGTCATCATCCTTAGAGATTTACAAAATATGTCAAGGGGTGTATATCTTCAGTGTTGTGATGCTAATTTGAAAGAAAAAATATCGTCTATCTAATACCCAAAATCTAGCTACCAGTAGGTAGCAAAACGAATATTTTAGTTACTGGTCAGTGTGCACACCACCAAAAAATATTTTAGGGGAAAAAAAATCTCCTTATCACCCCATTTTTGAAATACAATTTGGCAATAAAATTTGTTTTCCCAAGGTCTTATTGTGGAATATATTTGTAAGAATTTCAAATAAAATTCATCCCTTTCAGCATTTGTCATTTTTCTTTCTCATTTCTTTGCTCTTATTTTCAATCGACTTTATTCACTAATTTGCATAAATTTGCATATCAATATTCAGTATTTGCTCTTTTTCAACTGAAGAACACATAATTTAAAATTGTATTCATTGTATGCTGAATCATTAAAATATTACTCAGTACTTTATTTTGACCATAGAGACCCTTTTTTTAGTCTCCGTTTCAGGCAACAGCCTGAAAGGCGGACTATAGTTTTTTATTTCTAGTTTCAGTCTGTGACATCTCAAACATTTTCTCAGAAATTCTGCAGCAGATATCGATGAAACTTGGCAGGTTGATGAACAAGTCTCTGCTGAATATGCAAGTAATTTTTTTCCAGATTTGAAAATCCTAAGTGGGCCTTTTTCATGATTTTCATCCCAAACTACCTCTCCCAACACCACTGAAAGAACAACTGAGCATGCTCAGAAAAAAATAATTAGCTTAGTTTGTAATGCTAGGGTTTTTAGTGATGTCATGACCTGGTCATGACCTTGATCTGAATCAGTGACAGATGGGAGTACCATTACTATTCTCAGTGAAAACTGTAGATGGGTGTCAGGGCTACATTTTGATGGGAATTATAGTGGGGGTACTGAAACAAACCCAGGTCCTGGTAATATATAAAGACCTGAATTAAGAAAGAAGTCAAGTTGTTATTGAAGGTACATCAAGGTTTACTCAGATTTATGAATGCAGTTTCTTGAGTATGTATGAGACATACCGGTAGTTTGATTGCACTTGTGTACTTTTGGGCCCGGGCCAATAAAAGTTTTCAGTTATCAGATTAAGGGAATTCACTTTATGATGAGTTGTACCCACAGTACATATAAATGACGAGGACTGTGACATTTATGTCTTGTTTATTTATGTGAGCACATGTGCTACTGATGAGCAAATGAAGTCAAACCTTTGATCTTCCTGTATGATGTGGTTGTGATAATATTCATATAAGCCTTGAGAATCTAGTATGACATATATTTTTTTTATATATTTCTTAGGATGGTACAAAGACTCACATGTTCACAGTTACAAATATACCTGGTGCTGGTGCTGATGGAACTGTTCCTGGCGCTTCATCTGCAGGTAAGGCTGCCTTGCTGAATTTTGTAGGAGTCGACAATAGAAACTGGAAAATACCTTATTTTAATTTGAGTCCACTCATTGCTATTTTCATTGTTTACATCAGGGAAATGTCTTATTTCATCTCGATAGTTATATAATCTTTTATATTAGGTTACGTTTGGTAAAAATTATACAAGATGAACTGAAACTGTGAAAGTAAGGAATTATAGGTGTTACGCCTTCAGCACCAGTTGCATCTGAACCATTATCTTCACTTTCAATACCTCGTCACTGATGTATACCTTGGCAAGCAAAAGATTTTCTCTTCAGTTAAAGTAATGATTTCAACAGCTGGATTTTTTTTTTGGGGGGGGGGGGGCTTTTTGCTTTATCAAAAAATGATAATAGACTGATATTGAATTACCGGTATATGATTGTTTATACTGATCATGCAATCTTTTTGAAACTTTGATCTACAGGCTTATTTTACTTATCATTTGTCAGTCTCAAACTGTTGCTGTGCCATGTTTCTGAGAAAGGTCAATTAATTTCATGTAGCGACCTTCTCTGATGAATGTTGTATCATGGAAAGCTGCCCTAATTAAAGCTCTTTTCATCTGTGTAACATCGACCACAATATATAATTATACACATCTACCCTACCAATATTACCTCACATGGGTTGTATAAAAAATACTGTAAACGCATTAATTATCACTAGGTTTTAATTTAACTATTTTTTGCTGTGCTTTGTTAAATAATAATTGTCACGCTGGGAGACAGATATTGATGTTCCCTTCAGTGTATAATGTTTCACTAGTAAATCAGTGAATTTTAATTAAACCCAGGGAGTTATCAAATATTAAAATAGAGAAAATTAAATAGCAGTGATTAATGTTGGTAGGGTAGGGATTTCCTAGCACTCAACTTTCCTCCATGCATGATGACTTGTATAGTAAATGCAGTTATACCCCATTTGCATTGTGGTCATTTTTGATACTTTGTTTCAATAACAAATAGTTATTCCTTGTCAGCATTTACTTAGGAAAGTATACTTTTTTTGCTCTAAACAATCCACATTTACTTGTTTGTGATTCTGAACAATCTGATTCTGAATGCTGAACTGTTTCGCTGTTCAAAACTGTTCTTATTTATGAGTATAAACAGACTGTTTGTCAGAACAATTTTGTTCTGACTGAACAATTTTGTTCTGACTGACAAACTGTTTTGATATTGGGGTATTTTTTTGAGTAGCAAAACCCAGGATTTGAACAAACAATTTCCAGATCAATGAGCTGTGTGGTTGCATGGTCACCTTACTGAATGAGCTAAACAGGTGATTTGCGATGGAATGCAACAACTGTAGGGCAAAACACCCCCCAAGTTTTAATTCACGCCTTTTACAATATTGTTTTTATTCACACGTTGCATGTTTTTTTAATATATGCATACGATCTACGCATAACAATGCAATAATATATTCACATTTATTCAAACTTTGGATGACCCCATGCATGCACTGTACACTCAACATTGGAATAATATATTCACGCACTTTGAACTTTGGATGGCCCAATGCATGCAATATTCACACTTTGTTTTAATTCACCAATTAATTTTATATTCACGTCAGTAACAGACAGTTAGGCCGATCTGCATGAAGAAGTTTTGTCATTTGTCAGGAATCATTTTGTGGTAGAGGTTCTCTGGAATAAATTAGAGTGAAAAAATCAGACAATTACAGTACAGACAGAAAGTGTTGAGCAAGCTGTTTGAATGTTGAATGTATTGAAAAAATTAATTTGAGAGAAAAAAACAGATGCTTATTTGTGTTTCATATATAGGTATACAAATAACTGGAACTGGTCATACGTACCCAATGACTAACTACATGCCTACAAGTACAGCCAATAGTAACCACATAAACACTGCGTCTAGTGGCGTGAAGACTAGCACCATCAATGCATCGACACATGCCACCGCTACCACTAACTCTAGTAATATTTCAATGCAGTTACCAGGCGGAATAGCTACAATTCTCTCCCCAGGTATCATTACTAAGATTTTTTTTGTATTCTGTGTTTTTATTTTGTAATTTTGCATGATTGTGGTTTACAATCTGTTTGTTTGAACTTATATATTAGTTGAAACTCTTTATTTTTGCTAAAACAATAATTATTTATTTATTTTTCTCTAGCATACAATTAACTACATTGATGGTTTGCTCTATTAGAAGCATATATAAACCCAAAATTGTGGTTTACAATCTGTGTACAAATGCACAGTTTTTAAGCTGTGTATGAATGCAACTATGGTGGTTTCCAATCAGCATATGAATTAATGCATTTGTGCAGGTTTACAGTCTGTATACAAATGGGACAAGTGGGGGTTTGCAGGAATAAACGGGTCACATGATCAAGAGTGATATATTGTGACAAACCTGAGAAATGTAGCCTTCTTTAAATATCCCTACTATGTGATAATAGTAAAAATTTGTTCTTTAATCATTAGGAACACAACTGCCACCCGGCACAGCAATACAACTAGCAGGATTACCTCAGTTGCAAACACAGGGCCAACAAGTTCAAGTACAGGCAGGTCAAGTTCAAACTACTCCAACTCAACAGGTGTACAGATTTCAGTCGGGAGGATCCAACATGTCAAGTCTGAACCAAATGCTGACAGCAGTGGCAATGCAACAACAGCAACAGAATACACATACAACGAATGATGACCAACAGCAGCAACAACAACAACAGCAGCAGCAGCAACAACAACAACAGCAACAGCAGCAACAACAACAGCAACAGCAACAACAACAACAAACTACAACTATATCACTTGTGCCTAGTTCACAGGTACCCACAACAGGTATAATATTATATCTTCACCGAAATCAATCCTAAAAGATCATGCTGCAACTCTTCTATAAAAATCACTTGCATTCATCATGTGACGCTGTTCAGCAATTCACAAATAATCTGATTGGTTAATTTAATTGGTCGTTTCAGGTCAGCATGAAACAAACATGGCAGATATCATTTTGCATTTAGTGTCTGTGAGTGACCAAAAACATTTGCTTATGTTGGAAATAATTAAAATTTCACATACATCTCATAACAAACTGATATTGTGTATGATACTAATAATGTATTTTAGTAACAAATCAAAAACAAGTACGTTATTCAAAATAGCATGATCAGTTTACACTACTGTGATTTTTTCCTACTACCATACTTCCCTGATCATAAGCTCCTCCCAGAGTATAAGCCCACCCCTCTATTTTTAGACATTTAACGAGTTGAGGGCATCTCAAGGTGTTCAATATTAAAATATGCATGTAAAAAGGTGTGTTTCATTGCATAAAAATTGTGCTTAGTCTGGTCATTGGACATCGTTTTACTTTTCTGAATAATCGTGTCCATTGAGGCTATCATGGCTATTGGGTGTGAACGAGTAAACTATTCTTCCGACTGTGAAAGGTGTTTAAATACTTACTCCACACTTTACCTTTCGAAAATTGCGAACCACCAGTTTTTAGGGAAAAATCACCGTTTTTTCGTCAGCATCAGTACTACAGATCACGTTTTAACATCCCCGTAATCACTTCTGCTTTGCGTTAAAAAAATTATATGGTCAATAATCGGTAAATTTCGTCAGTATGACACAGGATTTTGATTGGTTAATGAAAGATGTGACCTGTTAGATGATTCAGGTCAAATCTTGTTGAAAAATATCCTGGTGGAAATTGCTTTGCACCGAAAGTAGATTGTATTGTAATAAAATGTGTGTATTTATAGGAACATGTTTGTTTCTTCATTGTAAAAAGTTTCGCATTTTTCTTCTTCAAAAAGATGTAATATTTCCCCGAGCCCGGCGGGGTGAACGAAAGATGTAATTTAGTTAATTTTTTGTTGGTGATAAGATGGTTATTATGTTAACCCCCCCCCCCAAAAAATTCTGAGGTGGTCCTCAAGTAATAAGCCCACCATTTAATTCCCCGATTTTACATGTTCAGGCCCCTGGGCTTACTATGATCGGAGAAGCCAATATATTTTTGCCCAATGCCTAATTAGAATACTGACTATACTATTATTGATACTCTGTCATGACTAATGTATTCAGGCTTTAAATGAATGGATTAAAGCAGCGATTACCAAAATGTGCCGATTACCAAAAGATTATCCTGGGCGATGTTTTGGAGAAGTACTCGGCTACTCGCCCAAAAATATGAGCCGTCCACCAAAACATCACCCAGGGTGGGGTATCAGACAAATATGGTAAAAAATGGAGAGTGAACAATTCCCATTTCTAGCTAATTAATTTTATAACCTATTACCCTATTTATACTATCGATGTAACCAGAAACACACTATCGATTTGTTTTGCCCTAATCTTTGAAAAAAATTGACACTCATCAAATGTGTATAGCACATTATTAAGCGTTGAAATACCCCAGAATACTGTGATGTTTTGACGTCACTACAACTTATAACCTTTGTTGTGTTTTAACATTCAATTTCATGCATAATGCTGAATCTTGCAGTGAACAGAAAATTTTCTGTTTTGATGGCATGATAAAGTATACATTCGTGATTACACACGTATAATTTCTTGTCATTTCTTTAAAAGTTCAGTGTACCAATGTAGACTTTTTTATTTATTTATTAGTAGCCACATCAATGCCTAGTCATGTTATGTATCAGACGGCGCAAGGAGTTGTGTATGCACCGGCACCGACATCACTTACTGATGGTCTGACATTTTTAAACTACCCTGCAATTACACAACTACAAGAAATGGGTAAGGTATTACTTGTCATTCTGGATTTATCCTCAAAATTATTTTATGCAACGCACTTTTTTAACATTCTGCAGGAGAGGCAGGGGTCATCTGTGCTTCTATATTTCTCTGTATGGTCATCGATGACGGTTGTGAACATACTATTTTATTTATGAAATACTTGGAAATAATAGATATTTCTTCATTTATGGATCGCTATTTCTTTAATGCTTTCATTATAAAACCAAAAAGTGGAAACAATTCTTTAAAAAATATATTAGAAGATTCTGAGTGCATGTGAAATACACTTGTTGGGCGGCTGCTTCCGATAACCTTTGAATGTTGAATGACATACATTAGTGTGCTAGTATTAGAACAATGCATGTTGTTATTTATTAAAGTTTGTCTTTAATAACCAATGTTGCCTCTGTTCATATAGGTGGCATGCAGCAAGTGACCTTAGCGGCCATTACCGGCCAGACTGGTCAGGCAGCCTCAGGATTGACGCAAATACCAATACCGTTAACACTACATGCACATGTAAGTATTTATCTGTCTTGTAATGGTAATGTTGGAGTTCTGTGGCTTACTTCCCTCGGGCAATCAACTGCTATGGTAACTATTTTTTGAAAAGATGTTGTGTTGTATTTTCGATTTATTTCCGAGGAGTTATAAATACCAAGATCACCAATTAAATTTGTGGATATCAAAATTTTTTGTTTATCTGTAAATACCTTCATTGTGCATGGTCCTACCCTCACATGTAGTGAGTTGTAATAGCATGCTGCAGGTGAAATAATAATTTTCATAGTGAATTTTGTAATACGGTTTAAGACTATTGGTGACTATTATGTACAAAGCATTGTGGATATTGAAATTGTTTGCGTACTTCCAGATTAGTTAAAAGGGGCTGTTCTTGTCCTGTAGATATATTGTTCTCAACCTCGCCATCATTGGACAATAAAAAACCTAATCCTCAATATGTAAACATAGTTGCATGAGTCAATTGATGGTTGTAATGGCCACACGAATATTGCTAATATGTGGGGGAAACATTATGCAAATCTACTATCCTGTGTATCGGACAACAAGGATGAACAATATGTAAGAAGCAAACTTCAGAATGGAAACTCATCACAGGACATGATCGTACGTCCAACGGAGATTCAATGTAGCATACACGAACTTGCTGTTGGAAAATCGACTGGTCCTGATGGCATTTCTGCTGAGCATATTAAGCATGCACATGACAGTGTTCTCATTTTGTTTTCATTATTATTCACCGCGGCGCATTTTCACGTCTATTTACCGCCAAATATGTTAGAAACTACGTTGGTGCCGATTGTGAAAAATAAAAATGGTGATATTACTAGTGCTGGAAATTATCGTCCCATTGCTACTGCTACTGCAATCTCGAAGCTGTATGAGAATCTCATTTTGGAGCGCTGTGGTCAGTATCTTCGTACGAGTGACCATCAATTTGGCTTCAAAAAAGGTCATTCCACTGATATTAAAGTTTTCATACTTTAAATGGTTTTAGGCAAGGCAGTATTCTATCACCACACCTGTTTACTGTTTACATAGATGGACTCAGCAATGAACTTGGCAATACGGGTATTGGTTGCCATTTATCTGAAAAATGTCTTAATCATTTAATGTATGCAGACGACATAGTTTTAATATGCCCATCTGTGAAGTGCTTGAATCGTTTGCTGACTACCTGTACTTATTTTGCCAACAATCATAACATCAAATTCAAGAGTGATGAAACGAAGTGTATGTATATACTGCCTCCTCGTAGTAGTACTGTAGATTACTTTATTTTCGCTTGGAATTTATTTTCGCTATTTTCGCTGAAAATATAATCCAGCGAATATACCTTTTTTCCTATATTTCACATTAAGCTCATCAAAAATCAGTGAAAAGTACCGGGGGGTAATTCCATACAAAACGCCTAAAAAGTCTTTTCAGCGAAAATTAATTCCAGCGAAAATAAAGTATTCCACAGTATTACACGTATTCCTCATGTTTATCTAAATGATACTACGCTGGATTTTCGCGCTATTTTTTTATGTCAGTATTTCTGAAACTCAGATTTTAAATGGTGTTTCCACTTTTTTAAGTGTTCTGCGTAAGTCCAGAGCTGGCTTTTACACAAGATTGACTTCTAGTGAGAATTGTTTAATTGTGGCAGCCATGTCTACTGCCATGTTGAGGGACAGCAACTACTGGAAAAGGGTCTTTTCTGATATTTATAAGGCGCCATATTTCTAATGTCTGTTTTGCTGTTGTGTTTTTAGTAATTTTAACTTTGTTATGAGCTGGTTCTCGAAATAAAAACTATTATTATTATATATATGACTAATTTACATAACACTAAGATAATTACTTCATTATATCTATTGTAATGGGTAAATACCAGAAAAAAAAAATGTTGTGGGTCATCGCGCACATCAATTAAATATGTCAATTCTACAGTAACTTTTTGTTAGCTCCGCTGTCGACTTTGTCGAGCGGAGCTTATCATATGAGTGATTGTCCGTCGTCGTCGTCCGTGTCAATGTTTTTCTTTTTTGACTTCTTCTTGAAAACTACAAGCCTGAATGCTTTGATACTTGGTGTATATGTACCTTGGGTAGACCTCTCTCAGATTTGTTCATTTCATGATGATATCTTCAATTCTCTAATTTTGGTGAATATTTTTGTCATTTTTAGTAAAAAGAGATATTTTCAACTTCTTGTTGAAAACCGCAAGTGCAATTGCTTTGATATTACATATATAGGTACTACATGTGGACCTCCCTCAGATTTGTTCATTTTGTAATGATATCTTTAATTCTCTAATTTTGGTGAATATTTTTGTCATTTTTGGTAAAAAGTGATATTTTCGACTTCTTGTTGAAAACCGCAAGTCCAATTGCTTTGATATTACATATATAGGTACTACATGTGGACCTCTCTCAGATTTGTTCATTTTGTAATGATATCTTTAATTCTCTAATTTCGGTGAATATTTTTGTAATTTTT